GGCTGTTTTGGAAAGGTCACCAGTTCACCCTAAAATACATACTTTATCCATTGCCAAAGGTCCATTTCTTTCATTCAGTTTGCATCCAGCGCATTTATAAGATATTGTTTAAATCACATTTTAGCGGAGATCTTATCCCCCGAATCGAATATACAGCCACAGAAAAGAAAACTTGGTAAGTCAGTGAGGCCGGTACATGATTTTTTGTCACAGCGCGATTTTTGATAAAGGAGTGAATGCCTACGCACTCCGCTTAGGGGACTTTCTAGCGAAGTTATGAAATATCAATCTCATTTGTGGATCAGAAAACTATGACTTAGATGAGGATGAGGATCGGATGCTGATGAGATCAGGCAGTGAGTACACTTAGGTGAAGAGGGGGTTTACCCGAAAGAAGTGGTGATGAAGGGTCCGCAGAGAGCGGGGTCACCTGTGAAGGTAAAATCTCGCATTGAACATGGGCCTTGTGCACTTCAGTACCGATAACCACGTTTTCCTGACGCCTCAAGCGCAGCCGATGCAAAAGGCTTGTTTACTGCAGTGAGTTCCCAATCCAAAATGCAACGTGAATGAATGCGTGGTATGGGACATTCGATACGATGGTCACTCATGCTTTAATATTTGACAAATAACAAGACTCAACCTATGACTGCATACTAATTAAAGGAGGTATGTCGTAAGCCCAGTTCTTTTTCACGCGTTTGCCTTCAGAATTACTGCCACTTCTTCGATTGATACTCTAGAAGAAACTCGGTCTATATATACCCTGCTGGTCCAAAAATAGACCGTGTTAAATCAACAAAACTTCTGTGAGCGACGTCATCTTTAAATCGTTTTAATTTCTCTCAGTCAAATTCAACGCCAGTTCAAAAGGAATTGGAAAGATTAGTCATTAATACATTAGTGCATCCTAGACCAGTCGATAATATACGCATTGTTTTCGTGATTATAATATTTCAGGCGTCTGAAGAAGGCATTTTAGTTTTGCTTTTTTATGCTTCATCTGTCGAAGCTAATGCCAAATACGCATTATTGGAGTGAGGTCGAGAGACCCAGCTGGTCATTGGAGGCATTTGATAATATGTGAGCTCTTGAATGCTGGGCAGTACAACATTGATGTACAGATGTGTTGCCATCGTGGGAGATTTATCCTCTCAAGCTTGGTGCTAGATGGAATTCATTCCTCCATGCATAGTTAACTATGAAAATTCGCATCAGCGAAGACCGGACGACTATTTTCTGAACGCCGTGCAGCTAAATAAACATGTAGAGAATTTACGAAGTCCACTTACTCATTCCTTCACTAAATCGCCTACACTTCGACTTCCAAATCCGAAGAAAATTCGGTCGAAAGTGTGACACTTGAGTTAAACTGACGTTCATCCATTCAGGAGAATGTCAAGCACGTCTGTGCGCAGTTCCCATTCAAACAAGCTTCCTGAGGGTTTTTCATTCAAAGGCGGCCCTAACGTAGCTCCATGTAATCATCCCGCACGTGACAAACTCAATCGCTAATATCCGACAATTTGCAATATTTCTATGGCCTCGGTGTGAAGTAAAACACTCTAAGTGCACAATATTGTGAAGATTTAGCACCCTTATTTCTTGAGCAAAATCTTGCAGGTGCTGTTGTTTCGAGGCATCTTTTTCTCATATAACCGCTCCTGCCTAGCATGCTTTTTGCCGCCATCGTGTGAACCGCTGTAAAATATCATTTCTAATCTTTCCCTAGAGTCACTGCATTTGGCAAAAGGACGATCTGAATCATATTTCTGCTTTGCTCTTCGAAAAAGTATGAAGAGGTGACATTGTCAAACCCTTGAACTATCTTTCATCTATTCGCAGGGGTGTAGTCTACCGTGAACTGACAAAGCTTTACGAACGATATGCATGCAAGGAGTTTTTGGAAAATCTTCCTCTGCTGCAGAAGTACGCTGGATATAGGTTAGTTTGTTTTCTCATGCCAACTGGCTCCTTAGGGAGGAGGAGTTGCCGCAGCTGGAAGATGTTTCAAAATTTCTCAAGTGTAAGTCTCTATACCTGTGTACTTAAGATGCTGTATCATTTGTGTGTATACTTTACCTCCATTTTATTAGGCTACCGAGCAGTACATACGTTCGTGATGAACTAGGAAGCTTAACTAACCCTACAGCACTGTCTGTGGTGAAATTGTGCAGCTGGATGTTTAAGTACTCCACTGAGACTGCCTCAGTTACAAAAAATTTCCCTCCCGGATATTTGAACACAAAGCGGGGCTAATTTGCTTAAGTAGTGTAGATTGCCTATCTCATTGAACTTGAAGATCAAAATTTCAATGCCTGGTTTAACACACATTTGGGGTTGTTTATTTAATTCATTGAATAGAGTTGAGGCGCAAAATTGTGTTTACTAGACAAGAATTCAGTTCAGATCAGTATATTGAGGGAAGAAGTTGGTGAACCTTGGCCAAATCCTACGTTTCTTGTTATCCAAGAAATGTTCTATGCTATAAAAACAAAACTTCCTGTTTGTGCATGTTGTATTACAAAAGAACATTAATAAACACCAGAGTCGTCTTAATTTTTCCTGTTTTAAAAAAACCACATTTACTTGACCACATAATATTACTTGATAAACCACAATATTTGAACAGGTACAAAAATCAATAATTTCAGGGTTATGCGCCTATTGGCCA